TTGCGATCGGGTCAAATTTCCGATATGCGGTTTTCGACGGATCTATACGTCTAAGAGCCTCTATTTTCGAAAAACACAATTTTAGCAATTGTTCTGTCTGTCTGTGCCAAGATTTTCTATAGACTGTACAACAAAAATGGCTTTAACGATTTTGATGAAACTATAATGTTCTAATAATTGTCCTTCAAATTTTCGTACATGTACTAAATTCTCGAGAAAATTCAAGAAAAAAGTTATGAAGAAAAGAAAAATGTTTTGGGGCCTAACTCACTAATTATATATTCTACGGTAAAATTTATAATAAAACTTTTGAAAGGTAATTAAGTTAACAACAAAACAAACAAAAAATCATCGAAATCGAATCAGTATTAGCGATGATACAACTTATTCTATTTTCTACACATGTTTTAATTTATTTATTGTGCTTAATTTTATTTATTATTATAATTAATTTAAGTATATATTCTACGGTAAAATTTATAATAAAACTTTTGAAAGGTAATTAAATTACCAACAAAACAAAAACAGAAATCATTGAAATCGAACCAGTATTAGCGATAATACAACTTATTCTATTTTCTACACATGTTTTAATTTATTACTTTCCTATATATATATATATATATATATATACATACCTAAACTAGGTAAGGAACGCATTGCGATCGGGTCAAATTTCCGATATACGGTTTTCGACAGATCTATACGTTTCAGAGCCCCATGAGTTCGAAAAAACCAATTAGTCAATTTTTTTTTAATAGTAATGAAATTCCCTAAAAAAATATTTAAAAATTGTCCATTTCGGACATCTATTAACGGACTCACTGCTATTTAATATCTCATGTATGATGATGACTTCAAATCCCGTGACAGGAAGGTGTGAAAGAGAGAAAAAAGAAAAGCGAGTGAAAGTAAAAACTCTGGTGCCCGCATCACACAACTTTCACTTTCTCCTCTACTTTTAACAGAAATGATTGTCTGACAAAATTGGTCTATGGAAAAAAAGTTTTTGTTTAGCAATATTAGATTGCATTGAATTTTTTACGCTGATCCTCCTAAAGTCGGTTTACATAGCAATGTTTATCAAAGAAATCGTACTCAAATCTTTTCTTTGACCAATTTTCTGTAAAACAAATCTAATCATTTTTAATAGTTAGGAAAATTGAGTGGACACACCTGATTTCTTTAACGCAAATCATGTTTGTATTACAATTATCTCAGGTCCATATTTTTATCTTAACTTCTTCAATCCTTTTATCTCGACTTTTCATTTTTCTGGTGTATTTTTTTAACTTTTAGCCCTGATGATTACCCACGTGCTGGGATCGAAACGTAGCAATGCCTCTTAAACTATGTAAACACTTGCATTTCCTGATGAATTTCTAACCTCTTAACTATAACAATATGTGTCATATTTATTATTAAATATATATAAATAAAATTAAAAATATCTATAGCTAGTAACACGTGTGAGTTTGTTGATAATTATTAATGGGTACATGGGGACACACCTCACCCTTGCTCGACAGCAAGAAGACTTTCTCTTCGACTGAATAGAAAAAGAATCATTGACACGCTTTAGGCTGATACAAAGACTTCGAGGACATGAGACCATTATCTGTCAAGGAGATTGATCCTTTGTGGCCAGGACCTTCCTCTCTGAAGGTGTGGTTCAAGCGTAGATGGGATTTCTTAGAGTTAGCTGCCATGACAGAAACTGTCACAAGGAGTTCCATCATGCTAGCTATACAATAGTACAGCAGCTGTAGTAGTGCTGTCGCACTATCATGTAGCAAACGATATTATCACGTTAACTTCCACGTGTAGAAACCTAGTTTTACACTTTATCTAACCTAATCCACTGGAGTATGATTGTGCGGAAATCTGTCTTACACGTTATTTAATTATTTGAAAAAGATCGAAGGATATTTATCCTTAATTATTTATTATAGGTCAATATTGTAGAAAAAGAAAATTATTTTTCGATCGCTATGTAAATTCGTATTCGAAGTTCTTTCGAGTCGTCAAATACAAATCGTAACTCTATTTCGCCTGGAAAAAATATTTGAACTCATTTTGCGCCCCAGGTCGGTACAAATCGTTTAAATTTTACAATGAAGAGAAGAATAGTTGGGGTGTTCAGTCAAAAAGGAAGGCAAAAATAAATGATAATATTTATTTTTTACATATGCCGACGTTTCGACCTGAAGTTCAGGCCTTCATCAGGGCTAAGAAAATAACCAGATAACAATGTATGAGAAATATAAGTAATGATGGTAAAAAAGATAATAAAAAATAAAAAAAATAGAAAAATAAAATAAATAAATATAAAGTAAAATGAAATTGTTGGATTAATGACTAAGAACTAAGAGATAAATAATAAAAACCGTTACAAAGTGTGGAATGATGAAGTAGGCATAATCAAAAAGGGGTGACATAAGTGTTACAATTGGAATCTTAGAATAAAATGTAAAACATAAAAAAGAAATATAAAGTTATAAAAGAAATGAAAATAAATAGTAAAATTAAAACATTGAGAATGGAGTAGTTAGATAGAAAATTGAGATATTGTAAAGTCTATCAAGATGTACAGACAATGTATAATATAATAAAGAGTTAAAACAGAGAAAAGTATAATTTCATTTTACTTTATATTTATCTATTTTATTTTTTCTAATTTTTTTATTTTTTATTATCTTTTTTACCATCATTACTTATGTTTCTCATACCTTGTTATCTGGTTATTTTCTTAGCCCTGATGAAGGCCTGAACTTCAGGTCGAAACGTCGGAATATGTAAAAAATAAATATTATCATTTATTTTTCCCTTCCTTTTTTTCTGACCATCCCAACTATTCTTCTCTTCATTATCCACGACAGTCAACCAATTACCAATTATTAAATTTTACAAATTGATAATAGATTTTTACGTTGTTTTTTTTTTGTTACGTAGGTAATTTAGTAATCTTTCTAACCTACTAATACTATGTACAATCAAGAAAAAATACTTTTTTACTTTTTGGGTAATTCGCAAATAAAGTTTCTTTTCCTTCATAACTTTTTTTCCAGAAATTCCTGGAAGAATAGGACTATTTTTCGCATGTGAAGGAGAAGAATATCTTCAAAATGAGTGGTAAATCGTTGGGTTTCATGAAGAATTGACGAAGTTATGTCGTACCGCCAATAAAAATAAAAATTTTAGGAATAATATATAAGATTATATATATTATTAAATAGATTATCTTGTAGTTACAGCTAGAACATATGTAACATTGGCCCGAAATTATTTTACCAATGTCTCTTTGAAATTTAACCGTTTACTAGTTGTTCTGTTTAAATAATTGGCACAGTATATATTGACCAGTGGACAACTAACTGGAAATATAATATGGAAATAACTAAATGCGATGTTTTACAGGAGTGGAGAATTAATTTTGTTTTCATCGGTCGATTGCAATTGTTATTCAAAATGAATTTGAATTGAAAAAAAAGAGGTTTCTTAAAAAATACAGTAGACTAAGAAATTTAACTGTGAATAAAATGTTATTTTTTAAATTTTAATTTATTAGAGTAATTTTGGATAGTATAAAATAAAGTTAATTTGTTAGTGTAAATTTAAAAAAAAAAATTGGAAAATATGACTAAATCAAGACAAATCACAGCACATCACATTTACGCTTAGACATGTAACATGCCCTCCAGTTTTCCTTGACAATACACAGATTCCACAGACAGACACCGTTCACTGCCTTGGTCTGACATTTGACAGAAAAATGACGTGGGGTTCACATATAACCAAGAAACGAAAAACGCTAAATCAAAGATTAAGAATTCTGAGTTCACTTCTTTCGAAACATTCAAAACTAAAACTTAGACAGAAATTAAACACATACAATTACTTACTAAAACCTATTTGGACTTACGGATCACAGATATTTGGAACTGCTAAAAAGACTCACTTAAACAAACTTCAAATCTTTCAAGCAAAAATATTCAGGACAATTACAAAAGCACCTTGGTACGTTAGCAACATAACCTTACATACTGACCTCCATATGCCGACTGTTAACGAACACATACAAACTCATTACAAACGATTCCATGACAACTTACAGGGACATCCTAATACACTTATAAATGACATGGCCACTACGAATATGCCAGGTAACGTCTGTAGGAGACTGAAGAGGAGCTGGATGAGGGACCTCCTCACCTAATGTTGATATCACGCCTAGTGAGGTGCCGCTGGGCACTGATCCTACTCATGCCTTTCATGACATTATATTTAGCAATCGATCTCACATTCACTGGTTGTCATTACCACTATGACAGGTGTGAATAAAAAAAATTAAACCAAAAAAAAAAATTAAATATTTTATAAATAATATTGATAATGGAAAACGGTTGAATAAACATAACCTTGCGATAAGAAGTTTGAACTACCACTTAATCCAAATGTTGTTTTTATTTTAAAATAGATGTGCAAATAAATAAATAAACATATTTTTAATAAGAAATATTATGAACTGGTATAAAATTTTTAAATTAATAGATGGATTGTAATAATAGTTCATATGTTTAAAATTACAAAAATTAAACTACGATGAATTTTAAGAATTCCTCGCCAGTCCAAACAAAGGAAATTATAAGAAATTTATGCTCACCAAAGAATAGAATCCCTATTATAATCTAAATAGGAAGGTTTAAATTATCAAGGAGACTGTTAAGAAATAATTACGTATTGTTATTATAGCTTTTTATAATAAATATAATGATATAACCATAACTTGGGGTCCGATAACAATCCAGCTGAAATTCGATTGGTTAACATGATACTATTATAATATAATTAGGAAGGTTACAGGTACTCAGTGTTGCCACAGTTAATAAGTGATTATAATTATATTGCCAGTGTTTTTTTTTTTAATTCAAGAGATAACTGTTTACAAGAATTCTATACTTATCAAGGAGGTCCATGTTAGGCTGTGTATGGTAGTCAGATCTTATCTCATTAAATATTCAGTTGTAAGCCGTAGGAGATTTCGCAGCCTTAAGATTTTGCTATTTCTGGTAGTGATCTTCTTTATCTGGCTCCAGCTCCATGACTATAATCCCTCCAGTCCGAATGTGATAACTCTGGAGTCAGCCAACGACTCGGCACTCATCCTCAGCATGATACCCCGGAAACTCCACAAGTTCCTGACGGCTAGACCGAAGAATGCTAGCTTGGAAGAAGGAGATTTGATGCCTGAGGAAATCCTGATGAACATCCATAAGTACAATGCGGCACAAACTATCATCAATGAAGATATTTTCGGTCCAGTTCAAAATGACACTGTAATTATTTTTATCCAGGTTCATACAAGGATTGTTTATTTACGGCACCTCATCGTTAGCCTAGCTCAAGCTAAGGGTATTGAATCAACATTCATAGTATTCTCGCATGATTTTTACGATGCAGAAATGAACGAACTCGTCCAGAGCATAGACTTTGCAAGAGTCATGCAAATATTTTATCCGTACTCCATTCAAACGCATCCAGATACGTTCCCTGGAAAATCTAAAGGAGATTGTCCGAGAGACATAGATTATAAGCAGGCTCAAATATTGAAGTGTACGAGTGCTGACCATCCAGATCTCTACGGCCATTACAGAGAGCCTGAATTCGCTCAGATAAAACACCACTGGTGGTGGAAGGCTAATAGAGTTTTTAACGAGTTACGAATTACTAGAAATCACACAGGTCTGGTTTTGTTCCTCGAGGAAGATCATTACGTGGCTGAAGACTTCCTTCACGTTTTGCTTCAGATGGAGATAGCATGCAGTACGACTTGTCCGCAGTGTAACATATTATCACTTGGAACCTATCTCGAGACTTACAATGAATATGGTGAAAACAAAAATGCTGAAGTCACCCCATGGTTCGGGTCCAAACACAACATGGGAATGGCATTTAACAGATCAGTTTGGGTCCAATTGCACAAGTGTTCGGAACACTTCTGTTCTTACGATGATTACAACTGGGACTGGAGCCTCCAGCAAGTGTCAGAGCAGTGTCTGGAATCGAAGTTGATGGCTCTGGAGATGAAAGGTCCTAGGGTGTTTCATATTGGAGAGTGTGGTGTTCATCATAAAAAAGCTAACTGTGAAAGTACAATTGTTATTTTCGAAGTGCAGAAAGCCCTTGCTAATGCTAAAACCTACCTTTATCCTAATCAACTGAACCTCACTTTTACTATCATTGACAAGAAGAACAAGTTAAGAAAAGGAAATGGTGGCTGGGGAGATATACGAGACCACCAACTATGTATGAATATGAGCTTCCCGATATATTAACTGTTACCTTTACTGTATAAGTTATTTGAGTCCGTGATACTCACATCTTTTTATCAAATTATTAAAATCCACGAAAACTTCGTGAATAGCTTCATCTCATTGTAACACACAAATATTTTATTTACAAAAATTCTCGAGATTGGGGCGTTTCAATCTGGAGGGAGGCAAAATTAGGCAATAAAAACAAATGAAAATCCATTTGCTTCCCACTTGAATCGTAAGATATTATGATCAATAATTCGAAAAAATACGTGGCCTTCAAAATATTTGCCCGTTTGGCCTATATGAAGGACACGCCAAAAAGCCCAAGATCAACTTAGTGATCATATTTTCTTACGAATCGAGTGGAAAACAAATGAATATTCATGATTATTTATTAAATAGACAAAGTTTTCCGATCTCCAGATTGAAACGACCCTATTCCAAGAATTTTCGCAAATAAAATATTTGTAGGTTACGATAAGATTAAGCTATTTTCGAATTTTTAGAGGGGTGTTAATAATGTGCTAAGGAATTTGTACCACGGACTGTCGTTTATAAGTGTGTGTGTATACTTGCTTATGATTACTTTATTTTTTAGCAAAGCTATTTTTTTTGTGATACAGTAATGAATAAGCTATTTAGAATATTCCTTATATAAATATTTATAATATGCCATTATAAATTGTTATAATCAATAAGGAGTTCTTTATAAAGTGATTTAAAAAAGTAATTTAATCTTCGTACACCTCTTCAGAATATAATATAACAATTTTATTATTATTGCACTGGAATTATATATTTTGTTATTTGTTTACTTAGCCTCTACCACTAAGGATTATTGGCTTAATGTTTCCATTTTATATTCGTTGATAAAAGTGAATATTCTTTAAATATTTGAACAGTTTTATCTATTTCATTCTCCCCATCATGCAGAATTTCTTTCATTTCCTTTCCCATTTAAAATTTTTCCTAATATTAGTGTACCTTCTACATTCTAATAATATATGTTTTACTGTTCTGGGTACTAGGCAATGTGTGCAAGTTGGAGCTTCTAATCCTCGCAGGAGGTATCCATGGGAAAACTCACAGTACCCAATTCTTAGGCGACATAGTATCACTTCTTCTCGTCTAGACTTTCTGTTTGATGTGTTCCATTTTATACATTCTGTTTTTATTTCCTAAAGTTTTGCCGAGCTCATTTCCCATTCAATGTTCCATTTATTTTGAAAGGAGCAGGCAAGTTGGTGTGTCCAATCTTCTCGAGGAATAGCATCAATTATTGTGGTTTATGCAGTTTTTTGCCGAGCAGAGTTGGCAGCAGCTAGAATTATATTTATCTGTGCACATTTACTGGTTTTGTTTTCATAATGATAAAGTTGTTAATTTCATGTATGAAATTATAATTATAATTTCTTCAATCCCGCGTCTACGTGAGTGAAGCCATGACGCCTTTATTGGGCAGCCAGGCAGAAGAGGGTGACAGCAAAAATAAGATACGTCTGGTTCACTGGGGGTAAAATTCGTTGCAGACAATCAGATGGAGATCCAGTAGTAATTATATAAAACCAAGTGATCTGGACGTTTTCAGCTGAACTTTGTATAAAAGTTACCTTCAGCTTGCAATTAATTTTACTTTCTCTCGCTAGAAATATATTTATTATATTTTTGTTTCATTTCCAGCTTTCTTTATTTTTTTATAAATGTAGCTTCTCTTGTTTTTTTTATTTTTGTATCAATATTTACTCATCAGAAATATTATTATTTTAATTTTAAGCTTCTTTTATTTTTGTATAAAGTATTTAGAACTTTATTCGATTCCTTGCCAATTTTTAGACCAAGGAGAAATTTATATTTTCTTATATTATAAATTAATTTTAACTGAATATTTATTTCGAAACACCGAAAATTTATTTTTTTCATTTCAAAGATTATTTTATGTTAGCATTGTTATTTATATTTCTAAACTTGACATTATGCTTGAAAAATGCTATATCCTATCCTCCATCCTCGATCATTTTTTTTTTCCAAAATCCTACTTCCCAACTGTCCAGTCATGAATAATATCCTGAATTCCTGTCACATCAATGCAAAATCCCTTACTGCACACTAGAATGAATTTCAGGAACATTTCCTTGATAAATTTTATCACATAATAGCAATATCCGAAACCTGGTTAAAACCTTTTATCCCTTCCTCTTAGATTTCCCTACTCAATTATTCCTTCCTACTATTGTAATAGTATAGAAAAGTAAACTTGTAAATAGTTACTACTTTAAATATTTATATAAATTATTAGAGCTATGTAAATTAGTCGAAATATATAAATTAGTCGAGTGCTATCTTGGAGTACAAATCCCTTCTCTACGATCTAACACTCCGAGGCACCAATGTGGTCCTACAGTGGATTCCGTGTCATTGCGGTATTCCGGGAAATGAGGAAGCGGATAGTCTGGCCAGGAGGGGAGCAGAATTGCCACAAACAGTCCATCCAAAATCCTACGATTCAATTCGGCGAATGGCGAGGATGATAGTGAAGAAGGAAACAAAAAATATGCACAAAGACAAGGTGGAAGGGAAACGTTATGGATGTTTGATGGAAAACCCGATCCCAGCAGCCCTACCAAGAAGAGATACAGTAGCCTGCTTTCGCCTGGCCACTGGACACGACTATCTACAAAGTCATCTGCACAAGATAGTTGTGGCTGAGGAACCCAGATGTAAATTATGTGAACAAGCGGAAATGGGTGCAGACCACCTAAACGAATGTCCTGCTTTGACGGATATAAAGAATCAAACATATGTAAATGATTACATACAAAAATCAAAATTATATTGGACAGCAAGATGTCGGATGGTCGAATGACCAATGACTATGGCATAAGGAAAAAAAAAATTATTAGAGCGTTCATTATTTTTATTTCGTGTTTATTTTCAATTTTTGTTTTTTATTTTAGACTATTGAATTACTCTATATTTTTGTTTATGTATCTCTAAGGCTCCTTAGCCCACATTATTGTCTTTTTATATTATTCTAAAGGGACTCGTCCCAGAATAAATAAAGAATTATTATTAAAAATAATATAAAAATAAATATATATTTTTTTTTATCCGTTGGCTCGTTTGCCTTATCTTGGAGTATCTGGAATTGGGAAACAAGCTATATCTCACTATATTTCGGCAATAGATCACCCTTTGATCCAACAAAAAGATATACCGTCTTCATAACTCTCTCCCAAAGCCTTCTGTAGTGTTTATAACTACCATTATCGGGCGGTCGAGAACTCTAACGGACATCGAAAAACGAAAAGGAAAAAAAAAATGGCGCTATAAAAACATAAGCTATAAATACAGAGCGAGATAATCTGGACCTACGCTAGGGCCCTTTTTGCTCCCGCAACCAAACTCCATTTGTCAAAGCCCTTTATAAAAAATTCCACTCCTCCCTTTCGTAGCAAATCCCTTTATAGTGTATCCTACAAATCCTCCGGCAGTGGAATCGAATAACGAATCTCCACAACGGGTCTGGAGATCCAGGCAATCTGGAATCTGCGAGTAAAAAATTCATGCGGTGGTGGCGGGACACGTCTGTCGCCTTCCTATTGGACCGTTTCTGTTAATGGGATGTCCTCTCTCATACGACACAACTGGATTATAGATTTTTTATATCTAATACGAATTTTAAATTTTATAAAACTTCTTATCATAAAAGTTCAATTTTGATACAACAATACAATAATTTAATTATATCCCAGTACTGACTCCTTTTTATCAAATTATTAATATGCTCCTGAAACTTCGTGAATAGCTTCATCTCATCGGAACCTACAAATACTTTATTTACAACTAGTTTCGGAATTGGAGCGTTTTCAATCTGGAGGAAGGCAAACTTTGTCTATTCAATTAGGTACTAGAAACTCATAAATACTCATTTGTTTTCCCCTTCAATCGTAATATAACTTGAGCACAAACTCGGAAAAATGGCCTTCAAAAATATTGGACTATTATATGTTTTGTTTTGGTTTTAAATGTCCTGGAAATATTAGTTCAACTGAATCAATGTATTTTATTATTCTTCCTAAAGATGAAATAAAAAAATATATAGGGCAATATTATGAATAACCTTTTATTTATTTTCCTTTATGTAACATGAAAAGTAATGTTAATCTTGATGTTAAATTGTTTGGAAATAGCAAACCATTGCATAATAATTTGCAGCGTCATATATATACGAAAAGAAAATAGTCCTAAGTAGGGCTTTTCAGTCTAGAGATCTGTAAACTTGATCTATTTACTACTAAAAACTCAGAACCCCTATTTTAATTGTGAAAATTCTCGGAATTGGTGCGTTTTAATCAGGTACTAACCTTTTTATAAATGGATTGTTTTGTTGCCGTTTCCTAACTGTATCACAAACAGAAATTGGTGTTGCCAAGTTGAACCATTGTAAGAACTGTAAGAACCCGTTTCCTGAAAACGCCTGACGGCGTCTCGTAAAGTTTCATATGGAACTCCGATAGCATTAGCTGCATATTTAATGGAACGTCCATCATCAATAAGTGCCACACCATGCGCAACATCCTCAGCACTAAGAGGCATTTTTAAACTTAATATTGAAAAAATTAAAAGCCGGAGACTAAGAAATGTGCTGCAAGAAATGGCACTGAACTAATGATACTGAATAAACATTTTGATTCCATAGAAAGTAAACATTGGAATCTATAATCATTTCATTGAATTAAGGATTAAGGGTTGCTGTCCTCTATATTAACATTCCTAATTGAAAACAAACAAAAAGATATTTATAACCTATTTATTCATTAAAAACAATAGACCAATCCAAAGCCGAAATATTTTTAGATTAAAACATGAAAAAATCAAGTGGGTGGTTATTTTTTCCTGTCAGTATATATATATAATTATTATTATATATATATATTATTAATTATTATTATTAATAAATAATATATAACAATAGAATTAATAGAATAGCGTCGCATGCATGAATAGAAAAATAATTTTATTCTGGGACGAAGTCCCTTCAGAATAACAAAAAAGTACAGAAATTAAAATTTTACATCTGGCCAGATAAAAACAAACATAACAAATTAAGATAATGATAAGTCATTAAAGAAAAGAAAAGAAAAAAATATTGGTTATACATACTATATACAAAATAAAATATAAAAATCTATATAAAAAACTCTTGAAACCATACTAAGATATTTAAAACTATGTACGATGTTAAAATATAAATAAACCCTTTTAGAAAAAATAAAAAATACAGAAAAAATAAATGTATATTCTTCTTAACAGTAAAATCTGTTTCTGTTGAAACAGAAAAAAAAAAAAAAAAAGAGAAAAAGAAAGTCGAATCTATAATAAGTATTCAGGTCATGAGCTATATGTGAATATGGTCTTATATATAATGTGTAATTTTACATAAAAGATTAGCTGGTGCCTGACTGTTTTTGGGACAGGAATTGGAATAGGAGGGTTTTGAATGTAGATAAGGATGAAGAATGTCGAATTTTGATTGGAAGGGAATTCCAGAAACTAACAGAACGTGCAATAAAGGAGTTTTGGAACGAGGCAGATCTGTGAGAAGGAATGTAAAGGTCGGAAGGTCGAGATCTTGTGGAGAGGGAGTGGACTGAGGACTTGAATTGGAGAAGGTTGTAGGCGTAGGAAGGACGATGATTGTTGATGATATGATAGAGGAATGTACCTAGGAAATATTGTCTTCGAATGGAGGGGAAGAGCCACTCTAACTCAGTGTAATGGTGAGAGACATGGTAGTATCTCGGGGCACCAATTACAAATCTCACGCAACTGTTCATTATTCTTTTCAGTCTGTCGCGGAGCTCCACCGAGAGTCCATCATACACCACACAGCAGTAGTCAAAGTGGGGGAAGATGAGAGAGGAAACGAGGAGTCTGCGCGTATGTTGAGGTAGGAGATGGCGGAAGCAATGGAATAGTTTGAGGGTAGAGACTGTCCGTCGGGAGATGTGAGAAATATGGTGACTCCAGGAGAGGGTTTGATCAATAAATAGTCCTAAATTTTTTACAGAGGAGTAGAAGGAGATTGGCTGGTCACCAAGGTTTAGTATGGGAAAGTCCGTATAGGATCTAAGGAGGGGCTTGGAACCAATGACAATGGCCTGAGTTTTTGAAGCATTTAACCTTAATCCGTTTAATTTTGCCCAGGCACAGATTCGATCTAGGTCTGCTTGGATCTTAGTAAATGCTACCAATAGCTCAGGGGGAGAAAAGGATAGGTATATTTGAGAATCGTCTGCATAAAGGTGGTGGGAACAATGGAGAATTGAGTCATGGAGGTCATTGATATAGGAACTAAAAAGGAGAGGAGATATGCTAGATCCTTGGGCGACTCCAGAGGATAAAGGCAGGTAGGCAGATAGTGGTTGATTAGGAATGGAGACTGCTTGGGTGCGTTGTGATAGGAAAGATTGGAACCAAGAGATGGAGCTATTGGAGAAGGAGAGTGATTTTAGTTTGTTGAAAAGGATGGGATGGTTAATGGAATCAAAGGCTTTAGAGAAGTCAAGAAGTATAAGGACAGTTAGTTGTTTATTATCTATTGCAGTCTGAACATCATTAGTAATTTTGATTAAGGCGGATTGTGTGGAGTAGCCGGGACGGAAACCAGATTGGAGAGGATCGAGTTGGTTAGACTTTTCTAGGAAATTGGAAACTTGGGATTGCACCAATCTTTCTAGGGGTTTTGAGAGATTGGAAAGAATTGAGATTGGGCGAAAGTCTTCGGGAGAGGATGGATTAGGCTTTTTATTTAAAGGGAGTACAATGGCTTTTTTCCAAGAGGAAGGGAATATTGAGTTCTGTAGGGAGAAATTGTAAATGAAAAGGAGAACTGGGAGGATTTCGGGGAGACATAATTTTATCAATTTGACAGGAATGCCATCTGGTCCTATGGAATTGGTGTGGGATTTCATTACTGCGGTTAGTAAGTCAGTCGGGGAAATGTAGGAGAAATAAAAGTCATCATCATTAAATGATGACTCAGGAGCATAGTTGGAAGAGGAGGGAAGAGAAGAGGTAGAGGAGGCAGAAATAAAATGTGAATTTAAATCGTCAGGTGAAACGGAAAAGAACAGTGAGGAAGGGGATCTAGAAGGTTCACAGAGGGAAAGTTTGCGAAGGATTAGCCATTTAGATTTGGGATCTGGGGCAGATGACAGGGCTTCATGGAAGTAGGAAGCTTTAGCTCGCCGAATTCTTGTTTGTGTCAAATTGCGGAGCACCCTAAACGCTTGATAGTCATCTGTAAGCCTAGTACGTCTAAAGCGTCTGCGGGCAGCATCACGCCTCTTCTGCAGATCCTTGATTTCTTGACACATCCAAGGTGCAGGCCGACGGCGAAAGGTTGAGGTTTTTATGGGAGCATGGGTGTTAAGGATATTGAGGAGATTGGAAGTCAGGATCTCAACCATGGAGTCGATGGAGGAGCAGGAATATATTTCGTTCAAGTCTAAGGTTTCAAGGTCAGGTAGTATTTTTTCACGGGTGAGAGTGTCTATCTGACGGAAAGTGAAGGTTCTCGGATGAATCAGAGGGGTTTGGATATTATATGTTATTTGGATCATGTCGTGAGACGATAAGAAGGATACTGGCAGTTGAGAAGAGGAGAGGAGATTTATTTCGGAGTCTATAATGAAGAAGTCTAACCAAGTGTCGGCCTTGTGGGTGTGGTGAGTAGGATAAAAAGGAACAATAAAGAGATGGAGGGAAAAAAATAGGTTTTCTAGATAGGTTTTGTCTTTGGAATTAGAAAGGAAATTGGTATTGAGGTCACCGGCGATGATTATTCTAGGATAGAGGGGAACAAAGTTGAGTAAGGTTGATTCTAAGGACGGATCAAATGGAACAAGGGGAGGACGGTAGATCACTATGTAAAGGAGAGGTGAATTATTACAGGTAATTTCTACTAGAAGGTATTCCACTTGTGGATGTTCGGAGGGTGGGGAGTAATCAAGGATTCGGGACTTCAGGCTATCATGGACAAATATGGCCACTCCACCACCAGTCCGGCTGACCCGGTCGTGGCGGATGAGGGTGTAATTAGGTAAGGAGACAGATGAGGACGGAATATAGGGTTTGAGCCAGGTTTCTGAGATTGCGATGATGTGAAAAAAGTTTTGAGAAAAGTACTGCAGGAATTCATCATAATGGGCGGGAAGGGATTGCGAGTTAACGTGGCAGGTGGTTAGGATGCTAGACATGGGGAGGATTTGATGGGAAACAGTCAGAAATTAGCATAGAGGAAATGAGGCATATATCATATTCTGAAAAAAAATTATGAAAAGTACTGATAAGCAAAATAAAAGTGAATAATGAAAAAATAAGTGAGAAATAAGAGTAAGAAAATAAACAAATTAGTAAACTGGAGCTGTGAGAAATTTTAACCAAAATCTTCAATGTTATTTGGGCACCAATGAAGACAAAAAATACTTTGAAGAACGAGAAGAAGAGATGAAACCTGTGCAGTCAGGCGAAAACTTCTAGATCCGATGCCTG